GGGCTTCTGGCTGCCGCTGCTGACATGGCAGCAATGTCGGCAATCGAAGCCCCAAGCCCTTTAAATTACCACTGCAGATCCAAGTGGTGGGAGGGCTGCCTGTGGGAGGCTAGTCCCCATCCCTGCCCCTGCCCTTTCTGGGCGCGTGGAGCTGCCCCCACCCCCGCTGGCCCAGGGGCGCAGCAAGTGTGTAGGCCCCCTGCCTCTAGTGCATTTATGGGGGGTGGGAATAGGTGAGCTCAGGGATGGCTCAGGGATGCCTAGGGCGACACCTTCAACAGGGCACCTGGGCGCCCGATGATGACGTCACTCCATTGCTGGCCATGCAGGCGGGGGCGCCGATCGCGCATTCCGCCTGGGGCTCCAGCTGCCGCAGCCTGCCTTGAGCCGCCCCTGGGTGAGCTGGCTTCTCTCTTCAACCATCTCCACTTCTGGAAACCCTAAACCTCTATAGACCAAACACAGGGGCATTTGGGGTGAGAAGTAGAGTTCTCCCTGGCCATGGATAGTGAATCGAATCCAGGATCCAGAGAACCTAGCAGCTCCACTTCCTCCCATGTTGATGCTGTCAGGACAATGTGTGACCTTTCATTATGTAGAAATGAATTAGTCTAGATATTCTGGCTAAGGGGTATTTCATGTCTCAGTGCCGGGTGTTACGTCTGATTTGCACACGTACTGACAACTCTACGATACACGTGTTTTAAAAATGCATATTTCATATCTGGAATGACAAGGGTTTCTGTTGTAATACACAGCCATGAATTTGTGGATGGCTCCTGGTGGGAAACAAAGTTTTCTAATATTTGCTCTGTTGTAACTGACGATGCGACCTTGAGGAAATCACATAACCCAGGGGTTCTCAAACTTTGTGATACCGCAACACCCCTCTAAGTTGCTCGCGACCCCCCTGGGAGGTTGGGACCCACAGTTTGAGAAACGCAGAGTCATAACTGGAATAAATTGCCCAGGGAGGTTGTGGAATCCCCATCTCTGGAGATATTTAAGAGTAGGTTAGATAAATGTCTAGCAGGGGTGGTCTAGACAGTATTTGGTCCTGCCATGAGGGCAGAGGACTGGACTTGATGACCTCTAGAGGTCTCTTCCAGTCCTAATATTCTATGATTCTATGATAACCTTTGTGCTTAAACTTTCCTGCCCATAAAATTGGGAACTACACTATTTACCTCACAGAATTATTTTGCAGATTAATTACTTGACATTTACACCACACTTAGCATGTACATACTGTTCATATTTGCAGAGTACTATCATGATTATTTCATACAAATTATTGCCCACCTCTGCTGCAGGGTGACCAATGGGGGCAGCTGCACCAGCAAGAGGAGAGGCCAGGGCCAGGAACCATGGCTTGGCCCCAGACAGGCTGAAGGGCTGCAGGCTGTGGAAAGGCTGCTGGAGGCTGAGGATGGCCCCAGAGCTTCGACCCCCTGCAGAGAGCCTGCCGGTTGCAGGGGAATGCTGGAGGCTAGGGCCAGCTGCCGGAGCCTGCTCCCCCCCCCAGGTGCAGAGAGGGGGGTCAGTTGGAGGCTCACTGGTCCGTGGACCCTCACTCCCCTGGACCAGCTACAGGGCTGTGTGTGGGGGGGTGCATGCTCCCAGAGCCTTGCCATCCCCAGAACAGCTACAGGGCCGGAGGCGGCAGCTGCAGGCCAGGGCTGGTTCCCAAAGCCTCGGCCCCCCTCTCCTGTGACCAGCTGCATGGAGGGGGCCAGCTGGAGGCCGGGGCTTGTCAGTGTTCCCTCAACCCCCCCCCCACCAGACCAGTTGCAGGGCCCAAGCCACCACTCTGACTCCTGCACCCCCACATCTACCGTCCCCTGCATTGAGCCCCTCCTTAATGTCCCGAACAGCCGGGGCTTGTCAGTGGACCCTCAACCCCCCCCCCACCAGACCAGTTGCAGGGCCCAAGCCACCACTCTGACTCCTGCACCCCCACATCTACCGTCCCCTGCATTGAGCCCCTCCTTAATGTCCCGAACATGGCAGGTAAATTTGCTAGTGAATACATACAAGAAAATAGGTTTTAAAAATTCTTTCCATTTGAATCTTCTGTGCTGTTATTAAAAAGGCAGGTAGCGTGACACAAACAACAAGGGGGGGGGGAGAACCCCGAGATTCATGGGCTGGATCCAGGCAAGACAGAGGCCTCATTCGGCATCTAGGCCTTAGATTCCCCATTCCGGCATTACAGGAAAAGCCACAAGGAAAATATAATGAAAAAACCAGCTTGTTCACCAGGAGTCTGGCTTGATTCCGAAAATGTTGTGGGAATGGCTAATGGCAGGTTGGACCTTGGCAACTAAAAGCCTCATTTGTATTTAACGTAAAACTACCCAGCAGGAAGGACACTTACTGCGGTTGCTAGTGCATGAAAAGGTGAGCAGAGTGTCCCAAACCGGTTGAATTTGTTAGCGTTGATAGCCCCAAAGACACGCCGACGGGCTTTCCTTCCCGTGATCCTTTTCACCAGGTCATCTTCTAGATGGTGTCTGAAAAGGCTCTGGCACTGAAAATGGAAGAGAAAATAACTGGTTTACAATGGAAGTGATGTCATCCCACTCATTTCAAGACATTCTCCCTCTTCAGAATGAGGAAGCGTTGGTTCCTGTTAGAAACAACTAAATCCACCACCGGAGCTGTCTGCTTCCTAAAGGCCAGAGGGCATCTTTGTCACTCATCAGTCAATTCCTGACCCATAGGAGTGCCAATTTCAGCTCACTGGCTAAGGAGTAATAAACTGTAAGGTTAGAAATATCCATGGTGATCGTGTATTCTGATCTCCTGTATCTCACACACCATCTGAGTAGCTCACTAAGGCACAGAACATCTCAAAGCTTTTGGTTCTGTTTATGGTTGTTTTCCTGGCTCAAATTTGCATCCGTCCCTTCTAGGGTTGCCAGGAATCCAGTTTTCGCCCGGACAGTCCGGTAATCACATCTTCTGTCTGGTAACCCCCCCCCCCCCCCCCCCCCCA